AAGCCACTGTCTGCAGTGCTGCCATCTCACATAGCTGCTGGTTTGAATCCTTGGCTGCTTCAGTTCTGATCCAGCTCCCTGCTAATACGCCTGGGAAAGCAAGGGAAGATGCCACCTATATGGGAGACCTGGATGAGCCAGTTGGCTTCAGCCTGGCCTATCCCTGGCCAATGCAAACATTTAGAGAGTTACCCAGCAGATGGAAGATCTTTCTCTCTCTGCTGTCTCCCTCTCTCTAACTCTGCCTTCCAAAAAGTAAATTAAGTTGACAAGTGCTAATTCTTTCCTACTTCAGATTACCCGCCTCCAGTCTCTTTCTCTTGGCTGCTTGCCTTAGAAGCAGCCACTTTTTTTTTTTTTTTAAGATTTATTCATTTGAAAGGCAGATTTAGAGAGAAAGAGGAAGGGGAGATATTCCATTCACTGGTTCGCTCCCCAAATAGCTGCCAAAGCCAGAAGCATATTGATGACAGGGGCCCAAGTTGTTGGTCCGTCCTCTGCTGCCTTCCCAGGTGCGTTAGCAGGGAGTTGGAAGTGAAGTGGAGGAGCTGGGACAGGTGCCCGTATGAGATGCTTAACTCCTAGTTCTGTGACATTTTGAGAATTTGTTTTTCTCAGAGTTTTGAGTTTGATCATTATTTAAGCAATAATTTATAGAAGTGTGACTGTTTTAAACATAAGAACTGCCAAGCTGCTGTTCTTTAGAGAGATAATAGTTATATATAAGAAAGGTTTTCTTACATCATTTTTTTTTTCTTGCATCTACCCATTTCTAACTTCTCAAATTTAAGGATTTGAGGATTCTGACCAACATAGCTTTGACCAGTTTCAAGTTGCTTTAACTCTGAATTTTACAAAATATTTGTATTCCTGAAGTCACCTAAGTTTGTCATTTATGACTCTGAATCCTTTTTGGTAGAGATAGGAGTTAGGATTAGATACTGGAATTACTTTATTCCTAAATATTGTATTTCAAAAATAGTAAATAGATTAAAATTTCAGTTTTGCTTGTGGTATAGGAAGAACAGAATAGAAGAGAAGTATCAGGCCTTCTTATTAATCTCTTTCCCTTGTTTTTTCCCCCTCATTTTGATAGCTATTCAAAACCGTAATCCTGTGTGGTATCAGGCTCTGACTCATGGTCTTAATGAAGAACAAAGGAAACAGTTACAAGACATAGCAACTCTGGCTGATCAAAGAAGAGCAGCCCATGGTATGTTATTAAACCATTACCCTTCTAATACAGTTAATGGCAGTGCAGCTTTAAAATTTCAAGAAAGGACTTAACATGAAACATGTGGCTTGTGCAAGTGGAGGAGATGAACTCTAATCTGAAAGATTTAATACAAGAGAAATGTCCTTTGTTTTTGGCTTCCATTTGTTGATTCTTCAGTGTAGCTGAAGACTGTTCAGTGTATAGTGATTTTAATGATTTACTTAAGCTCACTGTGAGTTTAATCATAGAAACTTGTTAAAAATATAAAATTTTTTTTAAAAGTTACCAATCAACTTTTTTTCTTTCTCAGATTTAAGAAAATCCTATGTGTTTTCATCTTTAAACATTTCAGTATTCATTTTTAAAAGTTTTAGATTCTATACACTTTTTTTTTTTTTTTTTGGTCAGGCAGAGTTAGAGACAGACAGACAGACTGAAAGATCTTCCTTTTTCCGTTGGTTCAGCCCCCAAGTGGCCGCTATGGCCGGCGTGTTGCGGCCAGTGCACTGCACTGATCCAAAGCCAGGCCAGGTGCTTCTCCTGGTCTCCCATGCGGGTGCAGGGCCCAAGCACTTGGGCCATCCTCCACTGCACTCCCAGGCCAAAGCAGAGAGAGCTGGACCGGAAGAGGAGCAGCCGGGACAGAATCCGGCATCCCAACCAGGACTAGAATTCAGTGCCGGCACCGCAGGCGGAGGATTAGCTTATTGAGCTGCAGCGCCAGCCAGATTCTATACAGTCTTAACATTTTTCTACAGGCCTTAACATGCAGTAAGCTCTAGAGTACTATTCAAAGAAAGGTCTTTATAAATATGTATCATTCTGAAGTATTTTGTTTTGCCTGCTATAAATTCTAAAAATTCCTGTTAGAAATGGAATCTTATTAATGTACTTGACTCAATATGGAGTATTTAATGATTTTTTTTTTCTTAACAATGAGATGTGAAAATTGGTTAAGAAGTCTGTAACATTATCTTCTCTACACAGCATATGCCCTTGTCCCTGTTCATATGGAGTTAAAATTGAGACCAACTTTGGCTAGTATTGGTGGTTAAGATACTTGGTTGTTAATATCTTCACAGTTCCTTATTTTTCCCCATAAGGAAGTAAGATGATCAGATGCCCTATTAAAATTTCATTTATTTGTTTTCTAGAATCCAAAATGATTGAGAAGCACGGAGGGTACAAATTCAGTGCTCCAGTTGTGCCAAGTTCTTTCAATTTTGGAGGCCCAGCACCAGGGATGAATTGAATTATCATTTTCTTTCCTGCTGTGTGATTGTAGTGAAGAGCTTGTGTTCCTCCTAGTAGTGGTTCCAGAACTGGTTTATGTTATCTACTCTAAACTCATTGATCAATAGATGGACACAAAACAAAACCCCAGGAGGTGGGACCTGATCATGCAACCTGGCACTGGAAAAGAAACCAGAGGGATTCTTGGGGGGAGGGGAGTAATGGGGGAGGTAGGGCTGGCATTTTCTTTATTTTTGAAGAAAGTAAGATCCTGACTCTGAAGCTTCAAGTGACACTGTGGAAATCTGAAACAAGAGGGGATGTCATGAAGGCAGCTTTTCTTTTTCTGAGGAAAAAATAAGCATGGGCTACAGGACTATTTAAAATGTCTCATTTACAGTATAAAACTCAAAGGTAGATGTAATTTTTACACCTATGAGTATTTGTCCGATTTGTCTATTCCTCACCATTGAGTATACTTTATATGTAAATAAGATAAGGTAATCCGATAGCCTTATTCAATCTTTATCATTTTCATTCATCAAAGATTGTTCCTATGTAGATTATTGGACATTTATTGTAGCACTACATGACTGATTTAAAAATCTGTAAATGAATTAGCACTTTCATATTGAAACAAGCCTGCTAGCCTATGTATAAAAGCAAAATGTTTGCTGTTTATAAAAGGAAGGGGATGTAATGGGGTGGGGGGTAGGGGTAATTTCAAGTTATTAATTTAAAAATGAACTAGCAATTTTGTACCTGGTGACTTTGTGGTGCACTCACCTCTGATAGTGACTTGAATTCGGTATGTAAAAAGGGGTTAGTGATATTTCATTGCTGCTAAAAATGGCAACTCCCTCTGTGTCCTGTTTTTTTCTTAAAGCTCTCAGTGTTTAAGTGGATATTTGGATATGAGACCTTACTGTAACAAATAAGAAAGGTGATATCTGAAGCATGTAAATTGGATATAAAGTTCTACTCTTAAAGAGTTGATCTTAAGAGTATGGCTAAACATCTATATATGCAATCTATTAAAAGAACTTAATTCGGCTATTATGTCTTGAATTGATTACAGTTTTTTTTTTCTAATTAGAAAATTTTTTTCTTCATTGGCCTGTTTTTATCCTTTACCTAGAAAGAGTGCAAAATGCACACTGAATTTTGACATTAAACACCCACCCACTCTTCCCATTTCCTCTAACCCCTCTTTTGTTGTGGTATCAGATTTTAACTATATGGGCTAAAGGCACATCGTTCCCTCCAAAAACCACTATTGATGCCACTGCAGAAACAAGCCTGCAACAAGACAGTGTAGAGAGGTTGGCTTGCTTCCCTCTCTTCCTAATTGCATGCTCAAAAATAAGCCTTTATTGATCTTAAACATCTGTCAGATGAGTCATACATTGGGTTATTTTTTATATACATGTATATCACAATATTTCAAATTGAAAGCAACATCTCAGTGGATTAAAAACTATTACATGCTGTTGTCTAAAACAGATTAGAAAATTTATAACTGTAAAAATGAAATGCACATATTAATATTTAAAATGCATAATTAAAACCCATTGGTGTTGTGTTTTTCTTGTATACCAATAATTAAGCCACTACTGTTGGCACTGTTTGGTTTTCTATTTTACACTGAAGGAGTGAAAGTATTTCCTATATTTATGAATTTACTACTAAAATCTTGGCAAAAAATGAAAAAAAAATTGTCAGAAATGTGTGGATGAAAACTGTTAATCAAGTGTGTTGCTAATCCCCCCATTCCTCAAGTTGGATACCAACTGTATACCCTAGGTTGCTTAAGGGGATTTCACTATTATCTAAAATCAATAAAATAAAAATGGAGTAGTTGTATATATGCAACATTGTGTACAGAGGGGCGATATTGAATAGTATTAATATTCTTGTCTTCCTTTACCTTTTGTCCCCTAATACTTAGTCTTCTTAAAATTTCAAACTTCATTGCACTTGGAATTAGTAATTCCAATTTTCACATTATTGTTATTGAAAAACCATATCTAATAAAGGTTTTAGTTATTCCCATGCACAGAATGAGAATTCTCCTTTGCTGAGGTTTTATTTCAAAAGAATGTACTAGCATGTCTTTAAATATTAACTGTCTCTTGTGTTATATAATCCAGACTAACCTACATTTACAGATTTTAACTTGAATTAAGACCTTAGAATTAACTAGTGTTCAAACAATAATTTCTAATATATCAAATATATGTTTTAATAATTTAATATCAAATTAGTTTATTATGATAGATCATGAATCTTATTGGGTCTGGGTTTTAAGTGAGATTGTGGAACTTTGAGAAGACCTTTGGAAGGTATAAAAGGTCTTAGAATTAGGTGGTTATAAATTTTTAACCTCCCCCTCAATCTTTTTTAACTAGCCTTTCCTGTAGTTTTACTACCTATAACTTCTTTTTTATTTAATTCTGATTTTGTGTGGATTCCAGCATTTGTCTTTATTGGTGGTAGACATTAGCTAAGTCACTTTTTGTAAGCAGAAGCCATCCATTTTTTAAAAACCTACCTGCCAATATTAAGGGAAGTTACAATAAAAGAATGACAATCATACAGAGAGTGTACTTGTCTTCAGAGACCAGAGTATCGAGCAGGGTTGGCCAGGCTATATCCTTGTTCATGCTGCTGTTCAACCCAAGATGTAGCTCCTGAAGCAAGTACAAAGTAAAAGTCGTAGTTAATATGACTAAACTATACCTTTGGAAAGATCTAACACAACTTAAGCATAGGCATTGCCTAAGTATAAAATTAATGACCTAGGGGCTGATGCTGTGTGTAGTCGGTAAAACCACTGGCTGCAATCCCGGCATCTCATGGGAACTGATTCAAGTCTGGCCACTCTACTTCTGATATCCAGCTCCCTTCTGATGTTTCTCAGAAAGCAGTGGAGATGACCTAAGTGCTTAGTCCCCTGCACCCACATGGGAGAACTGGAAGAGGCTCCTGGCTCCTGGCTTCAGTCAGGCCCAGCCCTGGCTATTGCAGCCATTTGGGGAGTGGATTGATCTCTATGTGCCTTCCCTCTCTCTAGCTCTGCCTTTGAACTAAATAATCCCTATCTTTTGTATGTTTATAATGTTTTGTATATGCAACTAAATTGGTCAGTTACACTAAATATTTGAAACCCTATCTTCTTTTTTTTAAAGATTTATTTATTTGAAATTCAGAGTTACACGGAGAGGAGAAAGAGGTCTTCCAGCAGATGGTTCATTCCCCAGATGGCCGCAAAGGCTGGAGCTGTGCTGATCAGGAGCCAGGAGCTTCTTCCGGGTGGAGCAGCTGGGTCTCGAACCGGCGCCCACATTGGATGCCAGCACTTCAGTCCAGGGAGTTAACCTGCTGAGTCACAGGGCTGGCCCCTGAAACCCTATATTCTTTTTTTTTTTTCTTTTGGACAGGCAGAGTGGACAGTGAGAGAGGTAGAGACAGACAGAAAGGTCTTCCTTTTTTTACGCTGGTTCACCCTCTAATGGCCACTGCAGCCAGCGCACTGCGCTGATCTGAAGCCAGGAGCCAGGTGCTTCTCCTGGTCTCCCATGCAGGTGCAGGGCCCAAGGACTTGGGCCATCCACTGCTTTCCTGGGCCACAGCAGAGAGCTGGACAGGAAGAGGAGCAACCAGGACAGAATCTGGCACCCCAACCAGGACTAGAACCCTGGGTGCTGGCGCCGCAGGCGGAGGATTAGCTTATTGAGCTGCAGCGTGGGCCAAAACCCTATATTCTAAATGCTTCCTATTAGAATCTCTTAAAGTTTCTTTAAAATTTTTTTTCTTTTTTAGCAACAAGATGCTTGTGTCCCATATTGGAATGCCTGGGTTTAATACCCAGTTCTAGCTCCTGGCTTCAGCTTGCTGATGATGCAGACCCAGGGAGACAGCAGTGATAGCTCAATAGGGTTCTTGCCAAGGGTGGGAGATCTAAATTTTAGTTTGCAACTACCAGCTTTAATCATCAGACAGCTGCATCTGTCTGCCTCTCAAAAGAAAAAATGAGAAAAAGAAAGAACTTTCTCAACATCTACTAAACCCTAAAGTGAATATAGTTACTGGTGAAAGGCTAAAAAAGTTTCTTCCTAAAATCAAGAATAAGAATGTCCTCTTCAACACTACACTGTGTGTTTTAGCCACTTTAATTAGGCAAGAGAAAATATACACAAACCAGCTGTATTTCCACTTAGTAGCAATACATGATATTTAAGAAAATGCATTTTTTTTTTTAAGATAGATTTATTTACTTGAAAGAGTTACACAGAGAAAGAAGGAAAGAGGTCTTCCATCCACTGGTTCACAATGGCCAGAGCTACGCTGATCAGGAGCTTCTTAAGAGTCTCCCATATGGGTGCAAGGGCCCAAGGACTAGGGCCATCCTCCACTGCTTTCCCAGCTCATAGCAGAGAGTTGCATAGGAAGTGAAGCAGCCTGGACTCAAACTGGTGCCATATGGGATGCCAGCAGTGCAGGCGGTGGCTTTACCCTCTGCCACAGCACTGGCCCCACCATTTTAATAAAAATAATGAAATTTAGCAAGTTTTTCAACACAGTATTGAAAGAGCTACATAAATGAAATGACATCCCATATTCATGAATTGGAAGCCAATATTGTGAATATGGCAACAACCAAACTGACTTAGAGATTTGATGTAATCCCTACAAAATGGTTACCATTTTTTTTAACCACAGGTGTTGCCATACTTACCCTAAAATCAATGTAGAAACTCTAAGGATGGGGCCAGTATTGTGGGTTAAGCCACTGCCTGCAACACTGGTAGCCCATATGGATGCTGGTTTGAGTCCCAGGTGCTTCACCTCTGATCCAACTCCTTGCTAATGTGCCTGAGAAGGCAGCTGCCCCAACTGTTCAGTGTGAAACCAAGAAGAAGCTCCTGGCTCCTAGCTTTGGCCTGGCCCCACCCTGGCCATTGCAGTCATCTGGGGAGTGAGCCAGCAGATGGAAGATCTCTCACTTTCCCTGTAATTGACTTTAAAATAAATATTTTTGTTTTTAAAAAGAGATATACAAAAGCCAAAACAATCTTGAAAAAGAACATGATTTAGAAAAAATAACGGGCTGGCGCTGTGGCGCAGCAGGTTAACACCTGGTCTGAAGCACCGGCATCCCATGTGGGCATCAGTTTGAGATCCAGCTGCTCCACTTCTGATCCAGCACTCTGCTATGGCCTGGGAAAGCAGTTGGAGGATGGCCCTAGTCCTTGGGCCTCTGCACCCATGTGAAGAATCTCCTGGCTTCAGATCGGCACAGCTCTGGTTGTTGCGGCCAACTAGGGAGTGAACCATCAGATGGAAGACCTCTCTCTCTGCCTCTCCTCTCTCTACCTCTTTCAGATAAAAATCTTTTTTAAAAAATAGAAAAATAAAAAATAATGCACAAGTGGCTCTGAGATGTCTATGTGGAAAACAGTCCTTTTTACTATACATAAAAATAGATAAAAAATTTTATGACAAAATTGTAACATTCTTAGGAAAAAAAAAACCAATGTTCATGATTTGGGATTAGGGAATGGTGTACATAGGTTACATTTCACCAAAATTAAAAATTTTGTGCCTCTAAGCACCTTCAAGTAGAATATATTTTAAGCAGCCAGTGCTGTGGCATGGTGGGTAAAGCAGCAGCCTGCAGTGCTGGCATCCCATAAATGGGTGCCGGTTTAAGACCCAGCTGCTCCTCTTCATAGCAGGGAGCTGGATCAGAAGTGGAGCCGCCAGGAATCAAACCGGCGCCTATATGGGATGCCAGCACTGCAGGCAGTGGCCTCCAAATTAATATATTTTTTAATGTTTTAGTTCATTTGGAGATATAGTTTAACTTTCCAAAAACAGAAACTTCTCACTTTGTCTCAAGTATTTTTCCTCTCGGAAATGATTTTGAAATCTGCTTTTATTTCTGGAAGTACCCATTAAGAAAAGCGCAGATTGGTGCCACCTTACGTGGGGCACCTAAAATGTTAGGAAAAGCGGCACAGAATAGCGAGGCAGTGTATGAAATCTATAGCCAGACTTAATTTATTCAGAGAAAATAAATTCACAGAGGTGGTGACCAACTGCTGCTGTTCACATTGATGGAACACGTGGCAGAATGCCTGGGTCCCCAGGGGCCGGGCCTTTTTATATTTTAGAAGAGCTAGGGTTGTGGGTGGGGGTAGCAAGTATTGGTGAATTCCTAGCACAGGTCTTTCAGGTGGCTGTGTTGGGCCTTGGGAACCTGGAAAAAATGCAGAATTGGGGTATGAAGGCAATAGGGTGTGAGAACTAATTGAGATTAAAGGACAAGGAATAAATTTTTATCTCTTTGGGCAATGAGCGAGAATGGCTGAGGTTTATGTCCTTGTTCCATCATCCATTATGTGACCACTGCTGAAAACTAGACTTAATTACATCTAGGAACTACTGAGGGGGCAGCACTATGGTTTAAGTGGGTAAAGCTGCTATCTGCAGCATCAGCATCCCATAGGGGACCCGCTCCACTTCCCATCCCAAGTGCTTGGCCTCTGCACTTCTGGTAGACCCAGAAGCTCCTGGCTCCTTGCTTTGGACTGGCCTAGCTCCTGCCATTGAAGCTATTTGGGGAGTGAATCACCAGATGGAAGATCTGTCTCACCCTCTCAGTAACTCTAAACATATAAAATGAATATTGGGGCCGATGCTGTGGCGCAGTGGGTTAAAGCCCTGGCCTGAGGCGCCAGCATCCCATATGGGCTGCTCCTCTTCTGATCCAGCTCTCTGCTACGGCCTGGGAAAGCAGTGGAAGATGACCCAAGTCCTTGGGCTCCTGCACCCACCTGAGACCCAGAAACTCCTGGCTCCTGGCTTTGGATCAGCGTAGCTTCAGCTGCTGCGGCCATCTGGGGAGTGAACCAGCGGATGGAAGACCTCTCTGTCTCTACCTCTCTCTCTAACTCTTTCAAATAATTAAAAATAAATCTTTATAAATAAATAAAACACCCAGAAAATACAGACAGTATAAATTAAAAAACTTGACTTTCTTCATCAACTCTACTTAAAAGGTTATCTATTGGGTAGGAGTATTCAAAGAGCAAAAACCCTCCAGTTTCTCGTGACCTAATCCTAAATATAGGTCATATTTTTAAGGGCCTGAAAAAGTAATCAGAGCTACTTTAATCTTCTGAACAATATATGTCCCTGGAACGGGGGTGGGGGGGTATGAATTATGCAACTACACCTTGGTTAGGGCCAGCTTAATCAGGAAAAGGGGGAAAAAAAAAGGCAGTGTTGTAAATTAACTATCTTTGACAGGACTGGCTATTTTAAATATCTTTTTGACTTAACCGCCTGTCCATTTCATAATTATCTGAAATGCAAACACTAAATCAAACATCTTTCCCAAGCAGAACCCAAATCTGTTACAGCGGGTCAACCTCCTCACTGTTTCAATAACTCAACCACACCTTGCACGCCCAAGTTAACAAATCTGTTTACTTGGTCTGGCTGCCAAAGCAAATGAGCATCTACCGAATACCCGACTCGGCTAGTATTTCCAGTGTTTTAGAAACGGATTGGATTCAGACCGAAAAGAAACATTATCACACTTGCCACAACTAATTCGTACGCATGGGTTTAGAGAGCCCGACTGAATGCGTTCCCCACCCTGTTTTAGTTTGCCAAGCCCCAAAAGGAAAAGAACATAGTGACACTATTTCAAACAACTTCAAATCCTGAGCCGAAAATATATTGAGGCTCAGAAGCATTCACAGTGCCTGTGCGCGAAGTCCAAGACCCGCCGGCCAGCGGCCAAGCTCCGCCGGAGGTTCCGCAGGAGACGAAGGATCACCCTCCCACTGCATGGTGATAGCCCACAGTGAGTGGGGAAGCACAGGACGGCTTGGAAGCCAGTCACCGGCATACAGCAAAGAAGAAAGCATAGCCCTCGCCCCAGACTAACGGCCTCAAGCCGGCAGCAAAAGCCCTAAGAGAGCGGTCAGGTCTTTCCTACTCCCCCACTTCCTTTACCCTCCCAACCGAACATTCAGCAATCACTAGGCTAAGCCCAGCCGTTCTCCAGAACGCGATCCGGCAAGCCCACCGGGAGTTCCAAGGCCGCCTCCTCGCCCCTGCGGGGAAAATGGCGCCCGTCACCCCTTCTCCCTCACGGGTGATCACAAGGACCAGCCTCCCTCCCTCGCTACAAAATGGCGCCTCCCGCTGGGGCCCCAGAATCAGCATAATTCACTTGTCAGTAAGGCGGTGTCGGTCTGGGATGAGCGGTTCTGCGAACCAGTCAGATACAGGAGCTTTGATTCGGCACTTGGCGCCAGCCATTCAAGCGCGGGTTGTAAGGCCAGGTTTGGCTGACGTCAAGAGGAGGGGACGTCGCTAAGGCGGTTTCCTTTTGCGTCAGCTACCTGTGGGCCAATGGCAAGCCGAACTCGACCAGTGAGTGACGTAGTGGCAGCCCAATGGAGGATGGGGGCGGGTCTCAGTTTCGCTATGCGGGTTGCGGGGCCTGGGGGCCGGACGGCTGTTTCCTGTCCTGGTGCATGGTGGTCGGACGAAGGAATTGTTGGAAAATTTTCTCGGAGGTTCGTATATAAATGTGTTTTTACCCAGTGTGCATTATTCTCCGCCCGGCCGCCGCCCTCACCGCGGCGGCGCGGGCCCGCTTGGGCCCGGGCTCCAGCTCCGGCTCCTAAGCCTTAGCCACAGGCCCTGCCGATCCTACGGCCGGCCTCGGTAGCGGCGCCTGGGCAGAAGGGAGTTTATTAATAACCCGCGGCGGCCACTCTGGGGCGGCGGAGCTTTTCTCGCTGAGGACGCAACACCACCCCCCCCCCCCGCCTCGTCTCAGCGCACTGCGCCCCGCCTGTTCCCCTCAGGGGACCGCTGAGGGGAGGGAGAGAAGGCGGGGAGGGTGGAGCCCTCGGGAGCCTGGTGGCGTTTCTCGGCCTGACCTCCGCGCGGATCGAGTCCCCAGGCACGCCGAGGCGGAGTTCTTCAGCTCGGACTCCGGGCCCACGGTTCGCGGCTGGCGCCGGCGGCAGGATTGACCCAAGGCCCGCTTGGGACCTGCCTACGGGTCGCACCCAGAATTTCTCCTAACAGGATCGTGGACAGATTTCTTGTTTCCCCTGCGTACTTTAGGTTTTTTTGAAAGGTCGCTGAGGCCTATCATAGAATATAAAAAATTGCCAATTTTATTATAATTCCTTTTCCCCAGTTTTGGCCAGAGTGAACAAGTCTGTATATTTATTTTATAGCGTTTGATAGTGGGACGTGAGCCAGGTTTTTTCCCTTCCCTCTTTGTTTTTTTGCACATTATAACGAAGAGAGTAGGGAAGAACATCATTGCAGACCCATTATTTGTTTAAAATTAGCCCAGCCTTTGGACTTTTCTAAATCAGCCGGTATAGTCAACTTGGGGATGTGGTGAGGCATTGTAGGTTTCACGTTATAGTCGGCTTTGTCTTTAATAAAAGGTGCGTGTTTGCTGTAGTTGACAAAAACCTGATTAGTATTTCATAGTTTTTTTTCTTTTGGATTACTAGTTTAAGTTCATTGTTAAATGTGGTAAAGAAATAACATGAGTAGATCACCCAAATCATTGATTGGATGTATAATGTTATCCTGGCGTATTTTGAGTATTTGGGATTCTTTAATCGCCCGTTTTTTTCAACAACCTTCATTTAAAAAATTAAGTTTTATTGATGTAAGTCACATAACTTAGAATTCACCATTTACAGTGATAATGAGATAATTTAACATACACATTCATATTTCTACAGCCATCACCACAGTCAATTTTGGAACACGTTTATCTCCAAAAAGGAACTACCTATTAGCTGAAACTCCCCATTCCACCTCCCTCGATGCACACTCCCCACCGTAAACTGCATTTGCCTGTTCTAGCCATTTCCCATAAATGGAATCATACGGTTGGGCGTTTGTGATTTGCCAGGTTCATGGATGTTACAGCATGTATCAGTACTTCATTTCTTTTTGTTGACAAATAGTATTTCATTATGTGAACATACCACATTTTATTTAGCCATTCATCTGGGCATTGTGATTTCCACCCTATGGCTATACTTAATGCTTCTGCTAACATTTATGTATAAATTTTTGTGTAAACATTTTCATTTCTTGGGTATAGATACCTAAGAGTAGAATTGCTGTGTTATATGATAATTCTTTGTTGAGATTTTTGTGTAACGGTGAGACTTTTCCCAAGTAATCTTTACCATTTTCCTTTTCTTCCATTTGATGTGTAAAGTTTCCAATTTCTCCACATCCGTGCCAAACTTACTATCAGCCTTTGATTATAGCCACCCTAGTGGATATGCAGTTTTGTCTCTTGTGTTTTTCATTTGCCTATTTTTTGTAGCTTATAATGTTGAGCCTTTTTTTTCATGTGCTTGCTAGAGAAATGCTGTATCATAAGTCCAATTTTAAAATTAGGTTATTTTTCTTGTTGAGTTCTAAGAGCTCTTTATACATTGCAGGTAGAACTCCCTTGTCAGATGTGTAATTTGCAGAATGTTCGTAGCCTGTTACTGACCGTTGGGCCACTGGGATAGTGCTATGAAGTGAGAGGTTTTTGTGTTCTTTTTTTTATGATTTATTTATTTGAAAGAGTTACAGAGAGAGAGAGAGAGAGAGAGATCTTCCATCTGCTGGTTCACTCCCAAATGGCTGTATTGGCTGAAGCTGAGCTGATCCAAAGCCAGGAGCCAGGAGCCAGGAGCTGCTTCTGCATCTCACACTTGGGTTCCCGAGCCCAAGGACTTTGGCCATCTTTTGCTGCTTTCCCAGGCACATTAGTAGAGTTGGATTGGAAGTGGAGCAGCAAGGACTGGAATGGGTGCCCATATGGGATCCTGGTGCCGCAGATGGCAGCTTAACCTGCTAAGCCACAGCGTAGGCCATATCTTGTTTTTCACAGAAAGATGACCTAGCTGCTTTGGGGGAATTGTACCTTTAATGTTACTTTAGCCTTAGATTATGTATAATGTATGTACAGCTTATGATCATTTGAGGAGAACTTTTTGAGTCCTGAAGTCCTGAGATTTTCATCATTTTTTAGTTTTTGTGATTTTATCTAGTTATGTCTTGGAGGGACTGGAAGTGTTGCTCAAATCAGTTTTTACCTAATTATGAATATTTTTGCCCCTTGCTTTGTATCAGAACAGTGACTTTTGAAATAGGATGCCTGTGGCCTTCTTCCTTTGTATATTTTAAAGGATTTTTTTAAGCAGATTTATTTATTTATTTGAAAGGTAGACCAACAGAGGTGGGGCAGTATCTTTCTTGGCTAATTCACTCCCAGATATCTGCAATAATGAGATTTGGGGCCGGCGCCGCGGCTCACTAGGCTAATCCTCTGCCTAGCGGCGCCGGCACACCGGGTTCTAGTCCCGGTCGGGGCGCCGGATTCTGTCCCGGTTGCCCCTCTTCCAGGCCAGCCCTCTGCTGTGGCCAGGGAGTGCAGTGGAGGATGGCCCAGGTGCTTGGGCCCTGCACCCCATGGGAGACCAGGAAAAGCACCTGGCTCCTGCCATCGAATCAGCGCGGTGCGCCGGCCGCAGCGGCCATTGGAGGGTGAACCAACGGCAAAGGAAGACCTTTCTCTCTGTCTCTCTCTCTCACTGTCCACTCTGCCTGTCAAAAAATAAATAAATAAATAAATAAATAAATAAATAAATAAAAAAAAAAAAAAAGAGATTTGGGCCGGGCTGAAAAAAGGAGCCTAGAATTCCATCCTGGCTCTTGCCAAAAGGAACCAGCTCAAGCACTTGGGCTATCATGCACTACATTCCCAGGCACATTAACAGGGAGCCTGATTGGAAGTAGAGTTACCAAGACTGGAACTGGTACTTGGATATGGGGATGCCGATATTGCAAGTGGCGCTTTAATCCGCTGTGACACATCAGTCCCAATATGATTACTTTTAATAGCTAGCTGGGTTTTTTCTTCCTTTGGTGGGAAGAAGGGGTAAGTCTTTAGGAGAAAGGATATTTAAAAAAAAAAAAAAAGATTTTATTTATTTGAGAGGTAGAGAGACAGGGAGAAATAGAGATCTTCCATCAGCTGACTTAAGCTCCAAATGGTCTCAACAGCCAGAGCTGGGCCTGTCCAAAGCCAGGGGCCAGGAGCTTCCACTGGGTCTCCCACGTGGGTTCAGGGGCCTAAGCATTTAGGGCATATTCCACTGCTTTCCCAGGCCATAAGCAGAGAGCTGGATTGGAAGAGGAGCAGCCAGGACACAAACTGGCACCCAAATGGGAAGCCTGTGCTGCAGGTGAAGAATTATACCACCATGCCATGGCGTCGGCCCTGAGAAAGGAAATTTTTAGGTTTTGGTGTCTCTTTCAGCCACCTGGAAAGAAATTCTTATGAGCAATCTTTTGCATATAAAATGTGCTTATAGTTTAGCTAGCTAGCTCAGCTTGGCTACAACTGGTAGGCACTTTTTTGTCAACTCTTAGTTACACTGATGTTGTGTTCAGTTTTCCCTTTTCAGTTTTAAATTGCTAATATGAAACTTAAAAACTCTAAAGGTATGCAGAAATGTTCAAGTATGTTCAGTGGAAGTAGTTATTTTCCACAGAAAGGATGTGCCCAGTGCTTCCATACTGTATTTTCCTCTGTCCTCTTTGGCATGCAAACACTCCGGTCTGCAGATTTTTTTTTTTTTTTTTTGACAGGTAGAGTTATAGACAGTGAGAGAGGAAGACAGAGAGAAAGGTCTTCTCTCCATTGGTTCTCTCCCCAAATGGTCACCACGGCCGGTGCTACACTGATCTAAAGCCAGGAGACAGGCGCTTCCTCCTGGTCTCCCATGTGGGTGCAGGGGCCCAAGCACTTGGGCCATCCTCCACTGCCCTCCTGGGCAACAGCAGAGAGCTGGACTGGAAGAGGAGCAACCAGGACTGGAACCCGGCGCCCATATGGGATGCTGGCGCAGGCGGAGGATTAACCAAGTGAGCCATGGCGCCGGCCCAGTGTCTGCAGATCTTAAAAACAATTAGTGACTGGGGCCGACGCTGTGGCACAGCAGGTAAAGCCGCAGCCTGCAGTGCTGGCATCCCACATGAGCACTGGTTTGAGTCCTGGCTGCTTCACTTCCAATCCAGCTCTCTGCTGTGGCCTGGAAAGGCAGTGGAGGATGGCCCAGGTCCTTGGGCCCCTGCACCTGCATGGGAGAGTCTGGCTCCTGGCTTCGGATCAGCTTAGCTCCAGCCGCTGTGGCCATTTAAAGAGTGAACCGGCAGATGGAAGACCTCTCTCTGCCTCTCTGTAATTCTGCCTTTCAAATAAATAAATAAATCATTAAAAAAAAACAGTGACTAATTTTGAAAAACATTTTTACTGCTGTTCTTTAGTGCCAGTTAATCTGAAGCAT